GCCGGTGGTGGTGGCCCACGCCTTTAACCTCAGCACTTGAGAGGCAGAGGCAGGCAAATCTCTATGAGTTCGAGGCCAACCTGCTCTACAGAGTGAGTTCCAGGACAGGCCTAAAGCTACAGAGAAACCCTGTCTCGAAAAATAAAAGGAAAGGGAGGAAGGAAGGAAGGAAGGAAGGAGAGAAGGAAGGAAGGAAGGAAGGAGAGAAGGAAGGAAGGAAGGAAGGAAAGAAGGAAGGAAGGAAAGAAGGAAAGAAGGAAGGAAAGAAGGAAGGAAGGAAAGAAGGAAAGAAGGAAGGAAGGAAGGAAGGAAGGTAGATATTTGAAGGGCCTCCTTTAAGTCTTAAAACATGCCAGCACATGGACTACCTTTTATTTTTTTGTTTTGTTTGAGACAGGGTTTCTCTGTAAAACAGTCCTGTCTGTCCTGGAACTTGCTTCTTAGATGAGGCTGGCCTCGAACTCACATAGATTCACCTGCCTCTGCCTCCCAAGTGCTGGGATTAAAGACTTGTGCCACCAACACCGGGCTTGTAGGAAAATTGTATAGAAACCTAGACCCTCAAATCCCAGACCAGACATACAGGCACAGCGGGCAAAACCCTCACACCGTGCTCCCGCAGAGCAAGGAAAATGTGTAATCAGTCCGAGATTGCTCCTCAAGTGTGCTGACCAGAGCCCGCACCATCAGCTAGAGTCTCCTCTCTCCAAGTCAGACCTGTCTCTGTCCTTGGCATTCTGGGATCCCTTGGCCATAGAAGAAGGGAATACATTTGATTCTCTTAATTTGAAAAAAAATGTTGTTTTTCTCCTACAAAAGTCCGCTCAATAGTCAGGAAGGGTGATCTGGTCAGGAAGCTTGGAATCTTGAGGGACGGGATCAATAGCTAACTGGGTACTTTCATCAGTGTCTCAGGAGTTGGGACCCAGGTGTGTTCAGAATTCTACTTGTCTGTGCATTTGCTACTCAAGGACAAAGAGGGCCATTCTACCCTCATTTCCCAGTTACCCAGTAAGTTACCCAGGACACCACACCCACACTGATTAGGAACCCGGCCATGCTTGGGGCATTCCTACTTCTAGTTGTCCTTCCTCCTTCCCTCTTTGGTGACACTTGACACATCCTAGAAGAGAATGTGGACATTTCCCCTGACTGTAAATTATCATTACATAGTGGAATCTGCAACTTAAAGTGGTGCAGCCTAACCTGGGAAATTTTATTTCAGATCTGTGTACAACCCAAATCTGAGAACGCATGTCTTTGCAAAGTTCGACAATGTGTTTGAATGGAAAAGATATTGTCTGAGTTTGGGCTGTATAATCAACTGCCCTTGGACATTTTCTTACCAATAGCTCTGCAGGTAAAAATCTGAGCTAAGGGAATCAATGTGGTCAAGTTCTGGAAACAGCAATTTTTTTTCTTTTACTTTTTTTTCTTTTTTTAATATTTATTTATTTATTATGTATACAATATTCTGTGTGTATGCCTGGAGACCAGAAGAGGGCGCCAGATCTCATTACAGATGGTTGTGAGCCACCATGTGGTTGCTGGGAATTGAACTCAGGACCTTTGGTAGAGCAGGCAATGCTCTTAACCTCTGAGCCATCTCTCCAGCCCCACTTTTTTTTTCTTTTCTTTTCTTTTTTTTAATGAGACAGGGTTTCTCTGTAGGTTTGTAGCCTATTCTGGAACTTGCTCTATAGACCAGGCTTGCCTTGAACACACAGAGATCTGCCTGTCTCTGCCTCCCAAGTCCTGGGATTAAAGGCGTGCACCACCACCACTGCCTGGCTGGAGACAGGATTTTAATGGGCTACAGACTACCAGCTTCTCATTGACTCCTAAGAGGGAGGACCAGATCCAGTTAACTGCTAGACCACTGCCATGTTACTGAAGTCTGTGTGCTGATTCAAATGCTGATGGGAAGGAAGTTAGGCTTAGTCCTGAACAGCATCCTGAGAGGACAGGAGGAGCTCGCTCCCACACTCAACTAAAGACCGTCATAAGGAAGTGCAAGGGGACCATGGGTAGTCAGGCTGCACGCTGGGTGGCCTGTGTCATCCAAGGCTGCCTCTTTGCTTGCCGGTAACAAGCAAGCAACTTTGACTTCTTGGAGGCAGTCCCCGTAATTCTTTTTTTTTTTTAAATATTTATTTATTTATTATGTATACAATATTCTGTGTGTATGCCTGCAGACCAGAAGATGGCACCAGACCCCATTATAGATGGTTGTGAGCCACCATGTGGTTGCTGGGAATTGAACTCAGGACCTTTGGAAGAGCAGACAATGCTCTTAACCTCTGAGCCATCTCTCCAGCCCCCGTCCCCATAATTCTTTAGACAGATGAATTACTTTTCCCCAAGGTAAGTATCATCTTACACATTTGAAATAATCTAACAACCACCAGATATTCTGGGTTATGTGAATTTAAGGAACGATGCAATAATCTTTGGGAGTAACATGGAGTTACTTGGGCTGCAGTTTTCTTAGAATTTGTAATGCCAGTATAAGGGAAGAACCACCACTACACAGACGGTACAGCCTCAGAACAAGGAAATGAGGCAATTTGACAGCTTTATTGATCTCTTATCTCCTCTATTCCCAGTCCCATCAAAAGCTGGTGTGGGTTCCAGAAAGCAAGTATTTACCCTATGCTGTGTGCAAGCTAAAGCAAGAGTCTCTTTAGAGGTAACCACTTGAACATAGATTCTCACCACATCTAATAGCAAAGCCACGAGGTCACGGAGAAGTGTGTGGATGTGTATACATACGTAGGTGATTCATGACTGACAGCTACTGTTATAAACAAACTCTTCTTTCCCAGGCTACAATAATACCGAGCAGGAATTTCAGCTAAATCACAAGAACGTCAAGGGGAAAAGATGCTGCCCACCAAGGGGCCGCTGAAGGGTAGCAAACACTGAGTAGAAGGCTAAGATGTCCTTTAAGTTCTGGCTATACAATAGATTTTGCCTAGGTCTTTTTCTCCCAGTGTAATTAATATATTAGCCTTAATGACTTCCAAGGCTAACCTCATTTCACACCCACATCAGTTCTAAGATTACTTTCAAGTGAACCCCTTAATGACTTCGCATTGTCACTAAGACAACTCATGCTAAACCTCAGAAATAAATAAATTTAAACCCACCTTATAAATGTCTTCTGTAACTTAGGCTAACCCTTTGGCCTCACCAGCCTGTACTAAAAACTGACTACAGGCGGGGACCATGCTGAGGTCACCAGTGGGGCAGCCAAGCTATCAGCCTCACCTGAGAAAGCAGAGGACCTGTAGATAGATGGACAACTGTCAGTCCAGGTTCCGAAAGCTTCAGATAAGGAGGCCTTGCAGGCTGGTGAAGACATCGCGAACGGAACACAGAACTCCACAGCGTCACCCTCGTTCCGCGTCTCTTCTGATCGTCGTGTTTTAGGGGATTACTGAACTTTGGGGTGGCTGAGCATGAACTCTCACAGCCGGTTAGTTTTGTCTCTGAAGTGAGGCACAGTGTGACTACTTCTAATGAACACCTTAATGACCACACTGTCACTTCAGGCAACTCATGCTAACCTGAAGATGCAAATTAAATGTAAAGCACTTAATCTGGGGGATTCTGCTCTAAGCCTGGGTCATCAGGACCGACACCCACCCGGCTGGTGTCTGAGAACGACTGTTCAATGAGTAGGGGAGACATAAGCTCTAATGCAAACGCTGTACCCACAGATCTGCCGCCACACTCTAGTCCGAAGCGTAAAGCCCCCGCGGGAAGTAAGTGGGAAAACCCTCTAGGAATAAGCACCCAATTTACTACTTAGAGCAAATATTTATCTGTTTTTAAGAGTTTGCTATATGCAAAATATCTTGCAAGAGGCAAAGCACTATTCATCTAACAGTTCAGTCACAGTGAGCAGTCTTCCTCCGTGTTTCCAGTCAAACCCAGCTGCGTTCTGAACATGCTAGCCTTTTGGAAAGGAATGTGAGTTCTAGCTAGCCCTCTAACGTGCCAAATATGGAGACTTTAATCCTTTCAGCTGCCTTTGCCTCTGACCTCTATGTTGTGATCACAACCCTTACTATACTCAAGCTTTCCTACCTTGGCTCACTGCTCACGACACTGGGTGGTGACCCACGCGTCTGCGGTCACATTGGGGTTAAAACACACCCACAGCTCAGTCTGAAACACAGGTGTCACAACTCCTCAGGGTTTTCTAACTTCAAAGAAGATATAAATGAGCTTTGTTTGCAGTAGGCACTCAAGTACAAAACAGAGCAAACATACTTATGTCCCCAAGGTTTGAGCTTAATACAAATAACTCTCATATTCCTATCAAAATCTGTTGAGTGACTTCAAACACCTCTTCAGTATACTTTGTGATTTGGTACTATTTAATATCAAATATCAGGATTATCTAAAGTGTTATTTAGACTGATCCTTTAAACTTAAAAAAGTGGAGAAAGTTGTTTAAAATAGGCACTACTAAAAAAAAAAATACCACTTCTTGTTGTGCCGTTAAAAACTACAAATAGGGGCTGGAGAGAAGGCTCAGCAGTTAATGCTGGCTGTTCTTCCAGGGGACCCAGTTTGATTCCCAGCACGCCATGTGGAAGCCCACGACTATCTCTAACACCAGTTCAAGAATCTTCTGGCTTCTGAAGCATCAGGCATGTACATGGTGTACATACATACAAGCAAAGCACCCACACATACAAGAGAATGAAATCATTAAAAAGAAAAAAAGAGTCATGAACACATAATTTTAAAGTTTACTTTAAAATGTAAATATTTCCCAGTATATAACAGGTAAAGAAAATAGCATATTGATTTTGTGGTTGTTATGTTTTTATTTTCCAAGTAATACTGATTTAAAAATATTTACACACCTACTTTTAAGTCCACAGTTTAGCACTCTTATTTGTATGGCTTTAAAAGTTATAGCACAAAATCTTTACATTAAGGATTGGGGGAAAGAGTCCATTCAAAACAAAGCCTGATATATTATATACATACTTTCCTCTGTACTTTATTTTAAATACATTAATTTTAAAATGATGCTCATCTAGTTTTTTTCATCTAGTGGTAAAATACTAGTGCAACTTCTCATCAAAATAAAGTTTACCACAGATGCAAATGAATTTTTCCAATTGAAAATGGCCCTTCAGCTGCCGTTAAATGAAAAATTTTCAATGTAACTTAAAGGAAAAAGAACTGGTAGTTGTCATTATAAGCAAAAATTTCAAGTCCCAGAGCAGTTTACAATGTTCCTTAAAACACAAACTTTGAAAGAACCAGAGATGTTTTACTGAAGTTTTGTTGGTTTTGAAAAGGCACAAGGGTGTTTTTTTTTCTTCCTTTTTTAACATCCTAGAAATTCTGCCACCACTGTTTCTGTTTCGGAGACAGCATTTGTAACCACTGGATAGACATGAATGTTGTTCAAAATAAAGCCAGCCAGACCCCCAAATGTGAACTGCACAGTAACAATGCACTTCCCGCATGCAGCCTTGTGGTACCTACATACTCAGTTTCCTAACATGCATTAGAATACAAATACGTATTCTAATGGTTTATATGATTTTATAATATGCAAAGAATTTAAGGAAGGAGATGACCTGGGGAAGAGAATACGGAGACCCTGACCACAATGAAAATAGATGCATTCGTACCCAACTATATAATAAGAATATAATTCATTTAAGTTACCAGAAATATACTTCTCAAAGCTCTCACTCATTATGAGAAATATTCCCACTCTGTGGCATTAACTGGAAGGAAGGACATCAGTCTGTTTCCATAGAAACAGTTCAGCACAACAGGAAGTAGTTTTAACTTTGGTCCACTTATCTGATAGCTTAAGGTCACACTGCCCATCAGTTTACCCCAAATGTAAATTTAAAGATATAATTGTTATTTCATTCTAAAACCGGCATAGATGTTCTGTCATTCTCTGCTTCTCCAGCTTGGGAATACTCTCTTGGTTTGGTCTCTAACCCCTCGTCATCTTCGTGATCTTCCATGGCAGCCTCAGCAGCATCTGCATGGCTAGGCTCGCTCTCCTCTTGGCTCATGATTTCGGGGGTCATGTGATCCAAGTCAGCTTCCAGAAGCTCAGTTTGTACTTCAACTGGCATCTGATTCACCCGTTCAACGTGCAGCTCTTCCACGTGCACTTCAGTCCCCTCTTCAGTCTGAATCCGACCCACTTCCAGGTAGCTCACCTGGACCTGCTCTGGAAGCTCACTGATGTGTGACTCGTGCACCTGGCTGTCCTGGAGCAGATCTGGATGGACCTGTTCCACAGTGACTTGTGCTGAGTCCACCTGGACCTGAAGCAGTGGCAATACATGCACCTTCCCAACTTGCTCTATAATCGTCATTGACGTCACTGGTTCAGTCTGGACATGTGTTTCTACTGAAAGGACCTCTTCAGTCACAATACGTTCTGAAATATTGTGAGCGTCACTAAGATGCCTCCTTAATTCATTTCCTTGCATAAACCACAAGTCACACAGAGTACAATGGTTGGGTTTATCTCCAGTGTGTATTACCAAGTGATCTTTGAACTGGTCCCAGCTGTTAAACACACTGTTACAGACCTGAAATCACCAAACATAATATGTTAATAATACTTATAATCAAACTGAAGTAAACATGAATACATTTATTCTCCATAAAATATACTAAGGGGTTGAGATTATCTAAATGAGAACCTGCCAAGCATAAGCAAGGCACTGTACTGGGTCTAATGCTAAGCATCGACAAACAATGACAAAACAAACAAAACCCACAAAGAATAGAATAGAAGGGCTTGCCTAATATATATGTGGGATGTCCCGGGTTTAATCCCTAGGACTGGAAAAAAGAAAAGAAAACAAACAAAAACTACACAAAACACTACCACCCACATTGGTAAACTGACTGTCACAAAAATATTCTGAATATGGTTTCCAGTGTACCACGTGCAAAGCTATTTCCCACACTTGGTTTCATTTGATCTTTCAGCCCATACACCTAACAATTTACTAGATTCTGAAAACATTTTAGCATTGTTCCCTGTTAAGTATCAAATATAAAGTAACAATACTATAGTTTTCCCCACAGCTTCAAAATTTAGACCCACTACATTATTTGGGACAAAAAATATACTAATCAGGGGAGACACAGCTGTTATCTTGCCTGCTTTCCCTGCCGCTTGCCCAGATGCTATTGAGTGTCCCTATGGTTAGGAATAACTAATTGTGGGAAGGCTTAATGGTAAAAGCATGAGCCACAAGTCTGGCACCCACATGGTGAAAAAGAGAATAAACTCTTGCAAATTGTCCTCTGACCTCTACGCACTGCAGCATGTGTGCCCAACTGCCAATAAGTAAATAAATTAAAGCACCCAAACCTGTTATTCCCCAAAACCAGGCAGGTGTAGTGGAACAAGCCTCAGCAGCCGCCTAGGCTACGACTGTCTTTAAACCTGCATGTCCAAAGCACTTCTGTGGCTTCAGACTACTACTCAGGGCAACTCTTATTAACACTGATCATCTAGGGCTGAATGAAAACAAAAACATTCCATAATCATCAGGTGATGGTGGCACACACCTATAATTCCAGCACTCAGGAGGCAGAGGCAAGAGGATCCCTTTGAGTTTGAGGCTAGCTTGATCTAAAAAGTGAGTTCCAGGGCAGCTAGTGCTATTACAGAGAAACCCTGTCTGGAAACCTACCCCCCCCCCCCCCAAAAAAAAAACCCAAAACCATGGGGCTGGAGAGATGGCTCAGCAGTTAAGAACACTGACTGTTCTTCTAGAGGTCCTGAGTTCCATTCCCAGCAACCACATGGTGGCTCACAACCATCTGTAATGAGATCTGGTGCCCTCTTCTGGGGTGCAGGTATGCACACAGGCAGAACACTGTATACATAATAAATAAATAAATCTTAAAAAAACAAAAACAAAAACAAACACCTAATAATCCATACAAAGTAAACAGCCTTTTCTTTACTCCCACGTCTTTCTCTGGCTGTTTGCCTGAGATGGTGATACTCTGACTCGGAGTTGCATGCTGATTCACCACAACTTGTATCAAAAGTACATGTGCTGCCTGGTGGCGGCGCACGCCTTTAATCCCAGTCCTCAGGAGGCGGAGGCAGGCGGATCTGTGTGAATTTGAGGTCAGCCTGGTCTACAAGAGCTTTCCAGGACAGGCTCCAAAAGCTGTCTCAAAAAAACAAAAGGCCATGAGCTCCACCTGCCCTAGAAGACACTACAGTGACACAAGCGGGCAGCGCAACAGGAGACTGTCACCTACAAAGGTCCATGCAAGAGCTGCACAAGCTAGAAAACAAAACAAAACCTCAGTGTTTAAGAATTTTACAATTTTGGTTTTGCCCAGATTACAGCTGCTCTGAGGCCACACACTGGACCCAGTCAGGAGAGGATCAGTTTTGATGACTATTGTGACCACATGGTTAACTGGGAGCTGAGAACATTCTACTGGGTATCACTAATTCAGGAAAAGATCAGATTTTGAAATTCCAAGAAAGTTTTTGCTGAACACATACTGCTTTTTGCACTACTGTCAAGTCAAGAACTTCTAAGTCAACCCTGTGAGTCAAAGACTATTTATTTACTCTGCACTTCTGAGAACAAAATACACCCACACATACCTGGCATTCGTAAAGCTTCTTCCTTCCCTTTTTTGCCCCTACTCCAGTTTGGCATGCAGTGAGGTGACATTTGAGAGTGCTATTTCTAGCAAACCGCTCATGACAGTTTGAACATTCAAAAGGTTTTTCACCTATTGCAAGAAAAAAAAGTACATTGGTAAATTGAGAACATCAGCAAAGGCAAGGATGAGAGTTCATCATTTTGGCTATTAATTTTTTTCTTTTGCAGTGCTGGGGACTGAACCACACGCAGGCTTCATGCATGCCAGGAAAATGACCTACCACTGAGGCATACCTTTGAAACAGGGTCTATTATGTATCTCTGGCTGTCCTGAAACTTGCTTTGTAGACCAGGCTGGCCTCCAATTCCTCTGCTCCCAAGTGCTGTGATTAAAGGTGTGTACCCCTAAACCCAGATCATATCCATCTTCCCCCTCCCTCCCCGTGTGTGTGAGTGTGTGTGTGTGTGTAGGCAGGATTTGTTATGTATTCGAGGCTGTCATCAAACTTTTATGGTTACTCTTCTGAGTGTGCCTCTGCCTCTCCAGGGCTGAGAATGGAGGCATGTGCCACCACATATGGCTTTCCTTTCTCTTTTTTTTAAATACAGTCTCCCTATGTTCCCTATGCTGGAATTGAACTTAAAATCTGCTTCAGCCTCCCAAGTGCTACAACTACAGGAATGAACCAAATGTCTGACTTAATTAACACATTCTTAAGGAGGGAAACACAATTTATAACTCATGTACTTTAGCATACCTAAAACTATTTTTCCTTAGATAAAAATCATGATCAATCTCTGCTTGGTGGAAATACAGAACTATCCTTTCGCTAAGCACCTGTTCTTTTTTATTTCGCACTTACCATGTACCAGATCATACTTTAGGTGACGACAATAAAATAATAAAGACAGGGAGGCACAGATCCACAATCTCAGTTTAGGAGAGACCAAGGCAGAAGATTCTGAGTTTGACACAAATTCAGGTAACACAGCAAGATGCTGTCTCAAAAAGCAATAAAGCATGGTGGTGAACGCCTTCAATCCTAGCGCCAGAGATGGTTAAGTTCCAGGCCAATAATGGCTACACAGTGAGACTCTGTCTCTAACAAAACTAAAAACAAACAAAACAATAAGCTGATGCCTTGAACACTGTCATGAAAATAAATCCGAATGCTGCATCAGGGCAATTCTGCCTGGAACAAAACGACCAAAGGGAGCTGATTTTAGCCAGAGCCCAGGTACAGCACTGCAGAGTGGGTGAGCAAGGAGGGAGTAACTGACTATAACTATGATAGTTGTATGTGTGATATATGTATATGTGATATGTGTATATCTGATATATGTATATGTGATATGTGTATATCTGATATATGTATATGTGATATATGTATGTGTGATATATGTATATGTGATAGTAGTATGCCACCTACTATCAAGAACCAAGAGTGCAGGAGTTTAAATGAAGTGTCTGTCAAGTGGGAATGCAGGGAAAGACCATGAAGTCAGTGTGTTTGCAAAATAGCACGAAGACCCAGGTTTAGTCCCTAGCACCACATAAATTGGGTGTGGGGGTTCGCATCTATAATCTCAGTACTTGGGAGGGGGAGGCAGTTACATCTTAAGTACAAGATCATCCTGGACAATATATTTACTGAATTCAAGGGCTACATGAAACTGTGTCTCAAAAAATGAATAAATGAGAGGCTAGAGAGAGGTCTCAACAGCTGCTCTTCCAGAGGACACAAGTTTGATTCCCAGCACACACGGCAGCTCACAGCCATCTAATAATTCCAGTTTCAGGAGATGCCTTCTAGCCTCTGTGTGCACAGACTGACTTATATGCAGGCAAAACACCCATACATATTTTTAAGGAGAGAGAAATTTTAAAAAAGAATTTTAAAAGGCACTCAAAGCAGAGTAGAGATTCCCAAGAGCTAGTTGTATAGACAGTTCTGGAGAATGTCTATATACAGAATGGACTGATACATAGATAAACGGGTCATTTCCAGTGGCAATGAATACTTCCAAGATGGATCAAAATGCTCAGTGTGCTATATAACCACAGAATCAAGAACAGATTCTAGAGAAACCCCAAGTAAGACAGCAGATAGAGGAGCTAACAGTGGAAAAAGAACTGCCGAAGGATACCAAGGAAAATTAGAGTAGTCGGCAGCACAGCGGGATGAGAGGCAGGGCTTAGCCATAATGGAGCAGTTAATGAGAAGTCAGCAGTACAAACAGAGTGTTCTGAATAATAGGGCTGAGGGTGTGGCTCAGCGGTAGAGTGCTTGTTTAGCCTGCACAAAGCCCTGGGTTCAACTTCCAAGCTTGTACACACACTCACTCTTTAAGAAGAAAAAGGACTGGAAGAGATTTCTAATCAGTGAGAAATCACCATCTATTGACTTTCTGTGGGGAAGAAGGCAGGAAAAGAAGAAAGAAGGGTTGCAATAAAGATGGACATGGTTCAAGTTACAAGATTCAGCACTGGCCTTTGAAGAAAAATCAAGCTGTTGGAGACGTGGGTAAAAAGAGCTATGCTAACTCAGGAGTGGAGGGAAGGGTCTTGAACACACACAGCAGGAATCTGGAGAAGCCATTAGAAAAAGGTATCAGACCAGAAATTGCCTCAATTAAGGTCTGAGACAGCACTTTCTCCAGCACTGTTCTCTAACAAGGAAGGATAAATACAAGTAGGAGCCTTCTATGCAAGAAAAGATAAGACAAGGTTCAGGCTAAGAGAGAAATCAGAAATATTGTAATAAACTGATGGGGAAGGATAAGCTGAAAGGCTTGGACGTGGAGGAACAATTGCCAAGCAAGAGTATGGGGATTCAAAGACAGCATAGTGTCTGCAGAGTACAGAACCTAGACGTCAGAGGCTTCACTACCCCAGTAACAAGGACATGTTGGATCTATACGACCAAAATATTCATGTAGATTGACATAAGTTACCAAGTCGCAAGTTCTTCTCCCAATAAAGTCAATATAGCTTTTGTACAGTTTGCACATGATAAAAAAATTAGGCAATACCTGATTACCCAGAATTAGTGTTGATATGAGAGAACTTTTTTTGAGAAATACGCTCAACAAAATGATTATGTTTTATCAGTGCGTAATTTTTCACTACCAGTGAAATCTATAAGCCTTTTGAAAAGGCAATATGAGTGGCTCAGGAAGATGCCCAGAAAGTGCCAGCAGTGCAGGCTTGAAGACCTGAGTCGGCACCCAGCTGTGGGAGAGCACAGCTGGGACTTCAGCCCTGGAGCTGATGTGGTAGCAGGGTCTTCACAGGTAGCTCTGGGGAGCCAGCCAGCCAGGCAGCCAGCGGGTGAGCTTCAGGGTCAGTGAGACTCGAAAATAAGGTGGAGAAAGTCACCTGAAGTTGACTTCTGGCTTCCACGGCGCATATACACAGAAGTGCACTCACTCACATGTGCCACATTCACACACCTACGCAGAAACACACACACGCTACACACAGACACACACAAGTGCTCGTACGTACGTAGTAAAGGAGGAATAAAAAGCAATCTGATGTTTGCCAAGATTTTCTTTAACCTGGAAATTCTGTTCTTAAAAAATAATTACATAGGCCAGCAAGAGGGCTCAGCACTTGTTATGACTGATGAACTGAGTTCCGCCCCCGGAACCCACTGCAGGAGGAAGAAACCAACTCCTGCTAGCTGTTCTTTGATCGCCACACTCATGTGGTGGCAGGCGCACACATACCTGCAATAAAAAGCCTTTCAAACTACATTATATGAGCATGTGTAGAGAGATAAATGTACAAGGATGCTTACTATGCCACTCTAGTGGCAAACTCTAGTGAAAACCTTGTGTTTACTGAGAGCAACAACGATGTGCACTAAAATAATATGTAGTCACAGTTTAAAAAAAAAAAGCCTCGTGTTTCATTTGCAATCCCAGCACTTGGGAGACTGAGGCAAAAGGATCAGCTGAGCTACATAATGAGAACTTGCCAAAAACAACAACAAAACCCCACAAAAACAAAGAAAGGTGAGTCTAAAATGAAATGGTATAAATCTGCTGCTTGCACTTCTATTCCCAGAAGTGTGTGCTTATGGTCACTTGATAATGCCGGCAATATCCCGAAGGTTAGAGGCAAACATTCTCTCTACCACTGACCTACTGACCCTGCCCTGCCCCCAATGTGCCAGGTGCTTTGTATGCCCAAGCAACACTCTCCAGTAAGTTCTTCTCTGGAGCCAGGAGCTACTTTTAAGAGATGTAGACTAGGACTGGAGACATGGCTCAGTGGTTAAGAGCACTGGTTGCTCATAACCATCTGTAATGAGATTTGGTGTCCTCTTCTGGCCTGCAGGCAGACATGCAAGCAACACAGTATATGTGTTGTAATAAATAAATCTTTAAAAAAGATCTAGCTAAGTTGGAAAGAATCACTTTTCCTTGCATGCTACTCGAGCTGTTTCTAAACAATTAGTTGAAATCTAGAAACAGTCATATGACTTTTGGGATGGGGGGGTTGAGAAAAGGTTTCTCTGTGTGGCCTTGGCTGTCCTTGAACTTGTTCCGTAGACCAGGCTGGGCTTGAACTCAAGAGATCCACCAGTACTGGGATTAAAGGTGTGCACCACCACTGCACAGCTGACTTTTTCTGAAAGACATGTGGACTGTTAAACTTCAGTCTTTCTGTGGGATGTGTACCATTATCCCTAATGCAAAGAAAGGGGCCTCAGTATAAAATGACCCACATGTTCACCAAACTGGTAACTGTCAGGACTGAAGCCAGAACTCAACTGTGATTTTTATTTTCTGATTCTCCTTGGAAAGCAGGGAACAACTACTTAAAAACATGTTGAAGTCACCTCAAGGTTCTTATTCAAATGGGTCTGGTATTCTTCTTCACCCTTCGCTGGCTTCTGCCAGTCACAAAGTCACTCCAACATAAAGTTCAGAGATCACCAAATCCCATGGCCCTGCCTCTTTTCACTACTGCTGCAGCTATCTCATCTCCCGTTCTTAAGATGATTCCAAAAGATTTTTTCATCAGAGTCAGCAGGTTTTATTTCACATCAACCTACTGTGCCAGTCACTGCTCTAAATAGAAACCTGACCCTTCTGCTTTCATATTTAAGCCTACAAGGCGATGTTCATTCAGCTTGCTTCTGTACTAAATGGACCCTACAGTGAGCATATGGTTCTAGAATTTACAACTAATAAAATCAAATAAGTTAACTTGATATCTCATATGAAGTTCTTCAGCCCTATAGTCACGCTGCTAAATCAAAAGCACAGGGTGGAAGTCCCTTCTCTCACTGCTCACACTTATTTTGCCCATAAACCATTTGTAGATCCCCCATATGTCACCCAGGATGCCTGCTCTAGCAATCTCTTGGTATTCCTTTACTTTGACCCAACTCTGCAGTCATCCACCCTTCTACTAGTAAAGCAAACAACTTGCTTTCATGCTCTCCTCTATGCCTGTGTCTTCTTTTGCTTGAAAACCTGTTCCCACACTACTTTTCCTGTGGGCCATCATCACTGGGGCTGCATCTGATTCCTCAATTTCTATTAGTGAGCTACAAGGGACTTTGGGCAGTGGGATAATTAGGAAGGAGGGAGGGAGGGAGGGAGGGAGGGAGTCTACTTGTAACAAGACTTGGGCACAACTGTCTAGAAATCCAACCCTTAGCAGCTGGCAGTAACTTGCTTTCTCTTACTATATGGGGTTTAGAGCCTAGTAAAAATTTAAGTCACTGGCAGTAGGTCCTGTGCTTGACTTAGGAAATCTAGCAAGGAACGCTCAGGAGTTAAAGCAAGGACAAGGAATCAAATGTGTGTGGGGGTGGGAGGGTAGGGAAATGACACAGAACTACAGTGACCAAAGAAAGACTTCCAGGGATCTCTTCAAGATTGGGACAGTTCTTAGAAGAAATAGTATGCCTCACCTCCCTTCGCCGTCTACTAGTCCTGAGATATTTGCCACTAAGAGAAGTAGAGGATGACAGACACAGATGACTATCTTTTTCTGGCTCAGAAATATATATGACTTCTTGAAGTAACGTGTCTGCTGCACAGACAATAATAGGGCTTGAGCTGCACCCCAGACACCATGGAAAAACCAGGAATGGCAGTGTGGGTATGGAGCCCCAGCACTTGGCCAGGGGGAGGAGTGCAGGCAGATCCCTGAAGCTCCATGACTAGTCAGCTTCACTGAACAGATTAACTTCAGATTCAGTGAGGCTCTGCTTCCAAAAATAAAGTCGAAAAGCAATTACCGAGGAAAGACTCAACCATCTCTGGCTTCCACACATGCAGGAGCACACCAGGTATGCACAGACCCACACGTCCACTCAACACCCACAGAATACAGCACACTCTCAAGACGATTAAATGTATGCCCCCCAAAAGGAGAAAAGAATAAAAATGTTAAGATTGCTTATAAATGTCTATGTAACATTAACATGGGAAACAAAAATAGAATAAAGTCATACTATAATTAGGATTTAATAATTCATGGTACTTAGCAAATAAATGTTTTACATACTTCTTTGAAGAATATAAACAAGGGTAAGACATAAGATGACAATCATCTTCAAGGTTGACAAATGATTTGTAATTTAAAGCATCAAATATTTCAGCTGGGCGGTGGTAGCTCACGCCTTTAATCCCAGCAGAAGCAGGTGGATCTCTGTGAGTTCAAGGCCAGCCTGGTTAACAGAGAAAGTTCCAAGACAGGCTCCAAAGCTACACAGAGAAACCCTGTCTTGAAAAACCAAACACAGGATTTAGACTTCAAGCCAATGTAGAAAAAATATACCTCAAAGTTTTGCTAATTACCTGTATGTTTTCGAAGGTGTTCTTTAAAGTGTCCAAAGTGGTCAAACTGTTTGTCACAGTACTGGCAAATGTGAATTTTCTTCCCAGCTCTTTGCTTCTTACTCAGCCCACCTTCCTCGAGGTGGTAGCAGTTTAGGTGCTGCTTCCAAGCACTCTCGCGGAGATACCTTTTATTGCATATGTCACACTTGAAACTCTCAGTGGAGTGTGATTTCATGTGTTCCTTAAAATGGTAAAACAATTTAAAGGAACGGTTACATTTCTCACAATGGAACAAGTCCTTCACATGTGACAGCTGAAGCTCCACAATTTCAATGCCTTCTACCTGTTTGCTTATGGGGTCGGGCGCACAGTCCTCTTCACTAAGCTGTCCTTTGCCTTCACCTTGGCGGTACTTGCTGGTAATGTCTGCCAGCAGTGCGAGCGCAGAGTCATCCGAGGAGCCTGTCTGAATGTACTTTATAGACTGCTTGGCGGAAGCAACCTCCTCCAAGGTCTCCATGCTTTCATCTTCTACTTCAATCGTGCCTTCAGCAATCTCCACCTCAATTTCCACAGGCTCTGATCCTGCAGACGGCAAGGATTCAGTGATAACATTCGAAGTTTCTGCAATCTTTCTTTTTTTTGCCTCATTTTTCCCTGTGGGATTTTCCTCTACGGGAGCCGAATTTTCTTTGTTCCTGAAAAGTATAAATTAAGAGCTTAATAAAAAAACAATGAAAATAAAAATTAAACTAAAATCTATAAAATCATAGAATTCTTTGAAAAAATAAACTAAATTTAAGTGGAAGGCAGAAAACAAAATTGGACAGCCTATACTGGATCAATTTTAAGATTTCCTAAAAGCTGTAACGATTAAGGCAATGATGATATTGTACAGATAAGCAAAGTCCAAAAACAATACTTATGAAATTAACTTCTGAAAAGAAAATTGTTCACAATGACTCAATGGAGACTCTTTTTAAAAGTGCTGATGCTTAGCTGGGCGGTGGTGCTGCACGCCTGTAATCCCAGCACTCAGAAGGCAGAGGTGGGCGGATCTCTATGAGTTTGAGGCCAGACTGGTCTACAGAGCGAGTGCCAGGACAGCTAGGGCTGTTACACAGAGAAACCCTGTCTCAAAAAACAAACGAACAACAAAACCCAACAACAACAACAAAGTGGTGATGATGGAATATCTGGTATATGTATCAGAAAATTTCAACCTTTAAACTCAGATCATTTATAAATAAGAACTCTAATTGGATCACAGATTAAAATGTGAGAACTAAAATTATTAAATTTCTAGAAAACAAGGGAAAAAGTCTTAGCCAGAGGCCCACCCACCTTTGCCTCCCCACTGCCAATCTTCATGCTGAAATTACACGAAAGCCTCTAAGATAAAATACTGTGACAACAGGGCATCAAGTGTCCAGGGCGGGCTCTTTAAAAAGAAATCACTGCAAATCAAGCCTGAAACAAGGAAGGCAGGTATGTATCTGTCATCCTCATCTAGAAAACAGAGAGGAATGCTCAACCAGACGCTCCAAAACCTGAAAGCGAAGATTTCTCACTGCTGTCACAGGTGGGCTGAAAACATGCAGCTTCTAGGGTGCTTGAAACCAGAAGCAGATGTGCCTTGTGTACTGGCAGTCTGTCACCGCCCACATCTGTCTCTACCTTCTCCCTTCCCCTCTATTCTGATTTCAGCTGCTTTACGGGAAAACAAAATTCATGGTGGAACAAAAATCTTTTAGAGACATGGGAACTAAGGAACTCGGGCCAAAGGAGGCAGTTTCTAGTCAAAGACTGAGGATTTAGACTTGAGATCCTCATCACAACTGCACGCTATAATTCTTCTAAAAAGAAGCAATAAGCATGCTGTTGGCCACATACTGGAACTGACACCCAACCTTTGGAAAGCTGAAGTCTGCCAGTCTAAAAGTCTCATTTCCTATCGAGTCAACCAGACTTTGTGACTAATATGGTAACAAGTGTCCCACAAGTATCTTTGGTCAGTCAGGAAGAAATGTTTAATTTGACAAAGTAGCAGGTGCTCAGCCTCAACCAGATTTATAAAAATCAAAACACACACAGCGGCTAAGGTTGGTAGGCTGTCCTTACAGCTCTTGCCAACATTCCTCATGATTTATCTTGCTATATTTTTACTGACACACAAGCTGTTGCCAGTGGCTTAACTATTTGGTGAGCTAACTTGAAAGGCAGGGCACACTCAAGACACCTACTTCCAAAGCCGCAATCACAGGGAAAAGAGTCGTTTCGCAAACTTCCTGAGTTACTCATTTAGAGGTCCATGTATGTTATAAATGGCTGTTCTCAATAAGACTAACTGTAAGCAGTCTATTAAACAAGTCTGTTTTGCCCAGACCGCCACCGTTACACCAAGAGCCAACATTCTGAATGTGTTAATAATACATTTGTTATCACAGACTGGTCTTAGAGGAAAAGACGCTCTTTCTGATGCAGACTTCACATCTGACTTCTGCTACCTCCTAAGAGATCGCATGTCTTACTGTAAAGATGTGACATGGCTGCACGCAGGATGCTGCTACTTACTGACTGACACTGATCTGGGAGCTATGTGTGGTGGCTTCACCCTGATAAGCTTCTCAAGTTATTCTGCTGCTGCTCCAGTCTGCCCAGCTGCTTCAAGGCTCAGAGCTGCTCCTTGAATATCACGTCACGCCTGGCTTCCTGGACTAGCTAGTCTGAAAATGGTGCCTCTTTTAAATCACAAAAGCACTGTAATAACTGGTTAATAGAAAGAGGTTAGTCTCTTACGCTTCCTACCTCCCACAGATACTGATATGCAAATTATTACAATAACCTCCTCAAACACTGACTCAAATAGTTTCCCACTCAACTTCCCTCACCTCCTCCTTGTCCAAAAATCTGAGTAAGGCAGGGTGATGGCCAAGTTCAGCTGTCCCCATACAGGGGTCACCTCTTCTCAGCTGCTTCCTGAGTAATGAAGAAAGGATGGGAAGCTCCTATAAACCTAATTAGACGCAGGGCGTTGGTGGCGCATGCCTTTAATCCCAGCACTCGGGAGGCAGAGGCAAGCGGATTTCTGTGAGTTCGAGGCCAACCTGGTCTACAAGAGCTAGTTCCAGGACAGGAACCAAAAGCTACGGAGAAACCCTGTCTCGAAAATCCAAAATAAATAAATAAATGAATAAAAATAAATAAATAAAAACAACCTAATTAGACAATTTAGGATTCTGCCCTGGATAGTCTTTGACATTATTTTTCTCCAATAGCAATTCCGGGACAAAGTAATTATCGCTTCCAGGAAATAATCAAATATGGGCTTAAAGGATTTGAACTCAATTCTAGTTTAGTTATCTGGATTCTGTTATTAGAACGACACCATCTTATCATAAGAACAAATCAGCTCATTTATAAGGGCACACATGAGGCCAAATGGGTCTCTAAATTTTGTAAAAATGCTTTTGAAACAACATTTCCTATGCAAGTTCTGGGTAGGAGTGGATCACTAACACCTAGAACAGAGTAAGCTATGGTTGCTATACTAGGACACTGGGTGGGGTGCAAGCAGCAATCCCAGGACCTGGAGAGATGGTATTTTACATCCAGAAGGCATGTGGGAGAACCATTAAATCTTTCAGAACCCAGGATCACAACATGGACAACCACCACTCAGGTGCTATTCAGGTGTCTGTGATAAATAAGAAAGACTAAATGACTGACCGCCTTTCAGACAACCCCCTCCAAACACTACAGCTAGATTCAAGCATTCTCTCTGAACTGCAGGCAATGACAACCTGTGTCCCTAGTGAAGGCCTTAAATCTTTAAGTACAAGGTAGGCGAATGATGTTTACTCAAATTCTGTTAATAGTAGTCTTAAATAAGCCCAATACGTGAAAAACTGAATGAATGGATTAAGTCACAGTTCCTACTGGTAGATCAGAGTGACTAGTGATTGAGAGGTTAATTACGAGAAAAAATTACCAGAAGCCAAGATAATATAGAAACAAGAGCATTTCTAGGAAACAACTTTTCATGGATCTCTCAGGCTGGTACATGACTTACAAAGACATAAATGGCCCTTTATTTTGGATCTGCTTACAAAGTTGTTTATACACATAACATCTTGAAAACAAAGTCTTTCCTATTTCAAAGTGTAAGGTAGATAAAGATAATGTCTACAGTGATATCAATGAATTTCAAAACTGATGGAATTAGCTATGTACCTACCATATATGTATATAAAATTTTAGAAAATGTTAATGATGGGACTTGTGGTAAGAGTAGACTGGTATGATCATTAAGACTGGGAAAGGAGGACTGGATTATAAAATGAAGAAGCAGAAGAGTACCATATTCATGAACTTGATAGTGATAATGGTTTTATGGGTATGTTAAAACTGCATATTTTTAAAGTCTTTACTTACAATTTTTTATTCCATGTAATCATTTCATTTTATGCATTTTGGCTACATGTATGTATGTATACCACATGCATGCATAGTGTTTGTAGAGGTCAGAAGGGGGAAACAGATTTCCTGAAATGTTCCCAGAATGTTCCTGGAATGAAAGGGATGGCTATGAACTACCACATGGGCACTGGGAACTGAACCCAGGTGCTCTGCAAGAGCGGCAAACGCTCTTAATCACTGAGTCATTTCTCCAGTCCCTAAATCGTTGCTTTTTATAATTTATGTTGTTTACATTTATGCCCATGCACTACATGCTTGCCTTGTGCCCACAGAAGCCAGAAGAGGGCATCAGATACCCTGGAACGAGAGTTACAAATGAGTGAGTCACCATGCAGGTCTAGGGCTCAAACCTGGGTCCTCTGGGTCACCGCTCCAGCCCCTTCCAACTACATACTTTAAATAAGGTTTGATATCTGCAGAAGTAACACATATTTATCAGAGTAAGCCTTATTAAAACTTCAAAAAGAGGGCTGATGAGAAGGCTCCACTGGTTAAGGTGCTTGCTGCCATACCTGATGATGTGAGTTCTGTGGAGGTCCAAAAACGTGAGCCTATTTCCACCTTGTCTGATGGTCAGAGTTGGAGGTTGCTTAAAACTGTTGACACGTACTGATGAGGGTGTGGTTACTTGGTTCTTTTGACATTAAGATGGTTCACACAAGTACATTCCATCCTGACAGATGGTCAAGATATGAAAGAGTACTTCTGCTCCTTCTTTTGTAATATGAGGTTACCTGGGGAATGGTACTTGGTCTAGGGTAGCTTCACGGCCTAAACAACAAAATACTAACAATGCCTTGATGTTTCAAAGTGTTCAACTGACCTGACCTTTGTATCGTATTAAAGAAATCTTTTGTTGCCTTCTTCCCCCTTTTGTATTGGGGTATAAAAGCATATGAAAATTAAACACAGGTGATTTCAGTTTTCACTGGAATGCCCGAGGTACTATTCTATGGTTTATGCTTTATTATTTTTCACGCGTCTTCATATTCTTTACTTATATTTCTAAATCCCCACACCTACCCTGACAAATGGTATTTTTCTAGAGGCTGGTCCCCGACAGAGTTCGACCACTAGGACTCACACAATACAAAGAAATAATCAACTACTCCAATCTGTTCTCTGACCTCTGGCATTTGTGCTGGGGCCCATGCACCCCCACATACATACATACACAATAAATAAATGTGGTTAAAGTTTTACAAAATTAAATAAGACTTATACACACATACATACTCTTATCAGAATAACAAATGTTCATTAGAGGAGTTAGCAAACTGACCTAAGGGCAACTTATGCCAACAAAGCTTTATTAAAGTCACCTCATTCATTTACACACTGCATGGATAACACAAGTATAATATATTAGCTATTTCTCTTTAGAAAAATGTTTGCTGGGCTGGCAAGATGGCTCAGTGGATAAAGGCACTTGCTGAGCAAGGTGGAGGAAGAGATCAGCTCCACAAAGCTGTCCTCTCAGCTGTTAGAGGATGGGGGACGACTGTAACTTGTCATCATCAAGTGCTGTGGGATAATGCTTTTGTGCACTGTAAAGATTTGTCACTCATATTGATTTAATAAAATGCTGAATGGATGGTAGTGGCACATGCCTTTAATCCCAGCACTTGGGAGGCAGAGGCAAGCTCTTTAGAGTCTGAAGCTAGCCTAAGCTAAGCTCTAAGACAGTCAGAGCCACAAAGGAAGACCTTGTTTTTGAAAACAACCCCACCAAAAAAAAAAGAAAAAGAAAAAGCCAGAAAGAACAAAATAAACAAACAATAGCAAACCCAACTATGTCATCAAGATGGGCAAATGGGTATCATATGTAAATTACACATCAAGAGGAAAAAATGAAAAAAATCCGTATGGCAACTGCATTTCTCAATTGAGTTTTAATGTTATTTCAACAATGTAAAATAAGGCCTTAGTGTCTAGTCTAGTTCTCAGTACCACTTTACACTATATTCCTAGTTCCTTTCTGTTAAATGTTAAAAGGAGTACTGTATATACCTTTGTCTGCAAAAAAATAAATATAACACCCATCAATTGTTCTTTTAAAAAGTAAATTTAACCAAAACTAAACCTTCATTCTTAAACTGTCTAGCCCATTAAACTTACATAATTAATGTTTGTTTTTGCAGCACTGGGGACTTGCCTGCCAAACCTGTAACCCATAATAAAGCATATATTTAGTTACTAATTTATATTCCTTTTCCAGGTGACAAACACTTGTTCCAGTAATACAAATTTTGAAAGATCATTTCAGCAGGCTTTAACTATCTAAGAATGATTTTAACATCAACTCACTGTAATCATTTCAGGTATTTTTAGCAACTGAAGTCTGTATCAATTTTACTTAAACTACGTTATTACACTGTCTAATCATTCATTTAAGAGAACATCTCTATTTTGAAAGATGTCAAAACCATTTTATTGAAAAGGAAGAAACTGGCTGGGCTGTGGTGACATGTGCTTTTAACCCCAGCACTGAGGAGAGATGGGAGGCAGAAACAGGACCCCTATGTGCTTACGGGCCAGGTGGGCTCAAATACAAAGAGCAACAGAGAAAGCAGAGATGTTTGGAAGTGGGCAACTATTTGAGTACTTCCTTAAAGTAGGTGGTGATTTTTTATTTGTGAGTTAATTAGAATGAAGTGATTTTTCTTTTAAAAATTTAAGTAAAAGTTTAAAGATAGAGACCCTGCCACAAGGAGAAAGCCACAACAACCACAAGACCTGTGCTCTGACCTCCACACCTGCACCACGGAACACACACTCGGACATGTGCTCCACTTCTCTGCTGTCTAGTGTCCACATACTAATCATGACTGTAAACAGGAAAAAGCTCCCACACAACACAAATCTGAAACTGTGCCATCTATGTACGAGCCTCACGCACACCTTTATCTTACTAATCAATTTCGGATCATCTATCTCTGCTGATGTGGATTGGCACCCACTCACAAACGCCTCCGCACTATGTACCAGGTGTTAGCTTTCAGAACGGAGATACACCAAGTTCTTATCAGAAAAGTTCAATTGTGAACTGTCATATTAACTAAAAGAAATGTTACTGGAGTCTGGAGAGGTGGCTCCAAAGTTAAGAGCACTATTTGTTCTTCCACAGAACCTGGGTTCGATCCCAACACCCACGTGGCAGCAGCTCACAAACATTTCTAACTGTGGTCCTCTTAGGCTTCTGGAAGCACCTCATGCACATGGTGTAGACATACATGCACATAAAACATCCATACACATAAAACAAAAATTTAAAAAATGATGCTTATGAACAATTATAGTTCAAGTTTTTCCTAGATTTATTCCCAATTTTATCTTCTGACTAAACCATACCAATGAGTTGGAATGAATAGTTTTGTTCCTGCAGGAAAACAACCTGCAAAACTATTTGTTGACATGCTAATGGACTACACTAAAATAAATAAGAAATAATCTTTTTACACTAATCACTTAAAAAGCAAACAACAGGCCGGGCGATGGTGGCGCACGCCTTTAATCCCAGCACTCAGGAGGCAGAGGCAGGCGGATCTCTGTGAGTTCGAGACCAGCCTGGTCTACAGAGCTAGTTCCAGGACAGGCTCCAAAGCCACAGAGAAACCCTGTCTCGAAAAAACAACAACAAAAAAGCAAACAACAGGAGGAAAGAGAAAGCCATATAGTACCAGGAGGTACCAGTGAAGTAACAGTTTGCACGTTTAGAATACTACACTACATAAACCGCTGTGCATTTTACAGGCATTAAGCGTCACAAACAATTCTTTGAAGGAAGTTGCATCATTATATCATCTGATGGGCTGAGTACTTCATTAAGGTCAGTGATAGAGCTAGGGTAACCTAGAGCAATACCAGAGCCCTCAGCTTACCCTTTACACTGCTCCAAATGAAGGTGCTGAGATTTGCTCATTGTAACCCTTAGTGGTTTTTGAAAACACAGAAGAAACTCTGTGTTTTAATACCAAGTGGTAACCCCTTAGCAATGGACCTGTTTTCATGCTACAATACCACTGAACACTATCTTTTCCCTTTGTGGTGGACATATCAGAAGTCAGATGGAGGTTTTAGTCATCTGGAGTTTATAACAAGTTTACATAAATACATTAGATTACAATAGCTCTACTTTGGCCACTGAGGTGGCTGTAATAGAACTGGCCTCCAGAGGCTCCTAGATTTCCCACCATGATGATAATGGACTAAACCTCTGAATGTAAGGCAATTCAATGCTTTCCTTTTTGTTGCCATGGTCATGGTGTCTTCTCACAGTACTAGAACTTTAACTAAGAAGTCATTACCAATAGGTAAGCCATGACTTACCCTCATCTAGCCTACTGATTTTTATTAGTATTCCCAGTACTAATAATTATCAATCAAATCCAGCTGAAGAGGGTCCAGAGACCACCCTGCCTAGACATGCTATTTTACTTTTTATTTTAATTTTTTTGTTTTTCGAGACAGCGTTTCTCTATATATCTTTGGCTATATTAGAACTCAATTCTGTAGACCAGGCTGGCCTCAAACTCAAACAGAGACCTGCCTGCTTTTGTTTCCTGAGTGCTGGGATTAAAGGTGTGCGTGACCACGCCTGACTCAGGCATGCTATTTTAATCTTATTTTAATGAGTTTTTACTTGAGAAATCAATGCAAATGGAAAGCATAATCAATATCCAAAATTTTCCTACTTTCAGAACATCACTACTTAATGCTATGACACAGTACAGTCTTGACTATCAGTTAGCATTTCTGAAGAAGTAACCATTACCGGACTTCAAGGGCTTTAATAGCTTCCAGCATCTGTAGAAACTCTGCTGCTTTCCACACATCATTAGCTTCCTCTTCTCCTTGTATCATTAGTTTTGCTGTGTACGTGAACTCAATCAAGTGACGAAAAGCCATTTTACTGACCCCTGTAAAAAGATGCACAGTACACTTAGCTCACGGCAACTCAAACTGCAGAATGCACAGCAAAGAGGAAAGCACATGGGATTTGATTACTTGTCATTTCCTCATCATCACAATTAATATCCTAGTCACAGTCCACAATCCTCATCATCACAATTAATAGCCTACTCACCAAGTAAGATCTCAAGCTCCCCTTCCAGCCCTGAGGAGCCCACTCCAGCCACCGCCACATACTTTTTAATGTTTACTTTATTTAAATTATGTGTCTGTGTAAACCAGAAACAAAGGCTCCCTGAAGCTAGAGTAACAAGTGGTTGTGAGTCACGTGATGGAGGAGCTGGGAACTGAACTTGGGTCTTTGGAAAAGCAGTACTCTTTTAGCTGCTGAGCCACCTCTCCAACCCCCACCCCTCAATTATGAGTGTGACCATTTCAGAAAGTTATTTAAGTAGATATTTTATCACTTATCTTTCTTTAACTGTCTTAATTTAACATGTTTACAAGGTTTATTCATGTTGCATACAGCAGAATTTTTAAAGGCTGACCAGTATCCTATTTTGTGTACATAAAAATTCCCTTTATTCAGGTCCTGAGTTCAATTCCCAGCAACCACGTGGTGGCTCACAACCATCTGAAATGAGATCTGGTGCCCTCTTCTGGCCTTCAGGCATACAGGCAGAAAGAATACTGTATACATAATAAGTAAATAAATATTTTTTTAAAAAAAATTCCCTTTATTCATTAGAACATTCATTCCATGTTCTGCTGATGAACATTTAGGTCATCTCCACATGTTAGCTACTATGAATGGTCCTAAAAAGAATGTAGACAAACGATTAAAGAAATTGTAAGGGCTGGAGAGAGTGCTCAGAGGTTAAGAACACTGCCTGCTCTTCCAGAGGTTCTGAGTTCACTTCCCAGCAACCACATGGTGGCTCACAACCATCTGTAATGAGACCTGATGGCCTCTTCTGTCTGTCGTGCAGGCACACACACAGGCAGAACACTATATACATAATAAAAAAAATAAAAAATAATTTCTAAATTTTATTACAACTATTGTATGTGACGTGTCACAGTGTGCCTGGGGAGGTCAAAGGTGGGTTTCAAGAATTGAACTCGGGTTGTCAGGCCTGCACTCTATCTGCTGTTCACTGAACCATCTTGCTGGCCGAGGAGCACAACTTCCTGAAGATCCTGATGCCAAATTCTTTTGCATGGACGCTCAGATGTGGAACTACTGGTTTATATGTGATGTGGCTTAAAGATGAAAGCTCATGTGTTAGCAGCCTGGCCCCCAGCTGGTGGCATGTTACTCAGACTGGATCCTGAGAATGCTTATTCAAAGCTGAATGGACTACTAAAGAGACAGGCCTTAGTTATTCTACCCACCCTGCAGACTTTGTGCAGCTTCAACTGTTTGAATTCTTTTTTGTTGTTGTTTTTCGAGACAAGGTTTCTCTGTGGCTTTGGAGCCTGTCCTGGAATTCTGCCTGCCTCTGCCTCCCAAGTGCTGGGACTAAAGGCATGCACCACCAGTGCCCAGCTTGAAATTTTTTTAAACTCAAACATGGACAAGAACATTTATGTGCCAACAAAGTTTTAGTTACATTGCATAGCAAGGGCTCAATAAATGCACACTTCTTTAAACTGGACTTTAAAGAAGGGCTGGTTGGAGGAAGGTCTTTCCTCGCTTACAAACTGCCAAGAGAGTGGCTGTAGACCTCTGCTTCAGCACTGCACTGGGTCAAGGTGTTCTGCCTTACTACAACCTCTGGACCTGAGCCAAGGCAACTCTCCTCCCCGGAAAGCTCTTCAATACATATGGCGCTTCTACTTTAAGCTTTGGAACGCTTCCCATCTTTCACAGTGGCCACACTCACTTCTCTCATCACCCCGTCTTCTACTTCCCTGACACCTTCTTCAAAAATGCAGTGATCCTTGCTAAATATATACTTGTCTGGCCAGTAATGACACAGATGGAACTTTTTTCATTTACTTAAGAGTCATTTGTTTTCTTTCTTGGAGAAGTTTCTACTTAAGTTCTTACTCTGTTTTTAAATAACGAAGTTTTAAATGTTAAATTCTGAGTTCTCTCCGTTTCTTTCAGATAAATACTTGGTTTGCAAATATTTTCTCCCATTCCACCAGTTGTGTTCTGTTTCCTTTATTATGTCTACTTCTTCTGTTGCCCATGATGTTAATGTCACATTCGTGAAATGCTTTGCCTAAGTCTTATTCTATTGGGAGGATATAACCAGTCAGTATGGTGTGCCATGCTCATTTTTGCACAGAACTATCCTTGTATCACAGGAACAAATCTCATTTAATCTTGATAAATCATCTTTAATTACTATGATGCTGGATTTAGGATCCTAGTTTATGTGTGTGCAGAGTGAGAGTACACAAGCTCAGCGCTCAGAGGACAGGTTTTGAGGCTGTTCTTCCACCGTGTTTAAGTGGCTATTCCTTTGTTTCTGCTGCTGTGCTGGTAACCTCAGGCTAGCTGGCCCATTATTCTCAGTTACCTCACTCAGTGCTGAGGTCAGATGCTTGCTACCACATCTGGTGGGTTCCAGGGATCAAATTCAGATCTTCAGCTTTCCCTACAAGCTGTTTTTTACTTGCTGAGCCATTTCCCTAAACTTTTTTGAAAAATAGGGTCCCAATCTATAGTTAAGTCTTGTACATGTGACAACCCTCCTGCTTCAACCTTCAAGTAAGAGAATTGACAGGTGCCAGCCACAATGCTTGGCTACTTTCCTAATATTTTACTGACAATTTTTATATCATAATAGATATTGACCTACAGTTTTCTTTTTAAATTATTTTTCTTGATATGGTCATCAGAGTCATACTGGTCTCAAGTAAATCTGGAAGTGTTTGCCAAACAGTGGTGGTGCACACCTTTAATCCCAGCACTTGGGAGGCAGAGGCAGGTGTATCTCTGAGAAACTCTGTCTCAAAAAATAAAACAAAGTTGGAAGTGTTTGAAATTTTTAAACATTTATTTTTATCTACACTTGTCTATGTTTATATACACATAGTTGTCTGCAGAGAACTAAGAAGGGTATCAGATCCCCCTGGAACTGGAGGTATAGACAGTTGTAAGCCATCAGACATGGGTGTTGGGAATGAAACTCAGAGTCTCTAAGGTGCAGTTATGTGCGTTTGTGCGCTTAACTGATGAACTCTTTCTCCAGCTCCTTATTCGATGCTTTTGAGTCTAAACATGGCAAGAGTTCTTCAAATGCTTGACTGAGGTCACTAGTTAAAGCCAACTGAACCTAGAATTTCCTCTGTTCAAAGGTATTTTGGTAACTAATTCAATCTCCACAGGAGGTCCTTTATGCTGTTTCTTTATGCATTAGGAACAAAACCTTCAGTATTTCCCAGAGGCTCAAGGCTGCAACTGCCCTAGTAATTTAGTTTATAAAACTCTCTTCATTGTAACCTATCTGAGAGAAAACTTTTGATCTGTACCTCAAGAGCATCTAACAGAGATTTCCAAAACACAGGTACATACAACAAAAATAAATGCTAAAGTTAAATTTGAAACTAAGTGTCTAGTTCAAGTATGCTGGCACACACCTTGATTCCAAAGGCAGGAGGATCTCTCTGAAGTTAGAGGCTAGCCTAGTCTAATAAAGTTAGACCAGGCCAGCAAAGACTACATAGTGACATGAGATCCTGTCTCATACAAAACAAAACAAAACAAAATTCCTGTTTCTACAAATCCTATTTTTTCTTTTCAAGTTTTGTGTTTAAATTTAACAACAAGATGACACTATTTTTGTATTTCCTTACTGTTAAGTGTTATTGTTTCAGTCTATTTAAGTCAAGAAACAATTTTAAAAGACTATTTCAGCTGGGTGTCATGGCTTACACCTTTAATCCCAGCACTCAGGAGACAGAGGCAGTCAGCTCTTGATGCCAGCCAGGTCTACAGAGTGAGATCCAAGATTCCAAGATGACTAGGGCTGTTATACAGAGAAACCCTGTCTTGAAAAACAAACAAAAAAGTTGAGTGTAAGAAGACTATTTAAGCCAGGTAGAAGTGGCGCACGCCTTTAATCCCAGAAGTCGGCAGAGGCAGGCGGATCTCTGTGAGTTCGAGGCCAGCCTGGTCTACAAGAGCTAGTTCCAGGACAGGAACCAAAAGCTATGGAGAAACCCTGTCTTGAAAAATCCAAAAAAAAAAAAAAAAAAAAAAAAAGAAGAAGAAGGCTATTTAAAGGAGCAAAGAAGGGGCTGGAGAGATGGCTCAGTGGTTAAGAGCACCAGCTGCTCTTCCAGAGGTTCTGAGTTCAATTCCCAGCAACCACATGGTGGCTCACAACCATCTGTAATGAGATCTGGCACCCTCTGGCGTGTGGACATACATGGAGGTAGAATGTTGTATGCATAATAAATAAATAATTTTAAAAAATTAAAATAAAAAAAATAAAGGACCAAAGAAAAACTTTTAATAGAATTCCAGACCAAGAAATGTCCAAGTCTACACTGCAAAAAGTATACAACTGTTACTCACAAAAACATTGTTATGTTTGTTCCATTTACCTTATATATCTAAAGGCAACTGTAAGTATTTAGAACAGGAATCTTTATGTATATAAAGGAAGGTTATTGGGTCTGGAAAACTGGTTCAGCAGTTAAGTGTTTACTGCTCTTGCAGAGGACTGAGTTTGGTTCCAAGCACCCATATCAAGTGGCTCGCAATTGTCTGTGGCTCCAGCTCGAGGGATTTGCTGCCTCTGGAAACACACACACACACACACACACACACACACCATGTAATTTTAAAACGAAAATAAATCTTTTTAGAAATTGGGGGATAGCCGGGCGGTGGTGGCGCACGCCTTTAATCCCAGCACTCGGGAGGCAGAGGCAGGTGGATCTCTGGGAGTTTGAGGCCAGCCCGGTCTACAAGAGCTAGTTCCAGGACAGGCACCAAAAGCTACAGGGAAACCCTATCTCGAAAAACCAAAAAAAAAAGAAAAAGAAA